CAGGGTCAGCCAGGAGCAAGGTGGCAAGACAGAGCATGCAGAAAGTAGGGAGGGGCAGAAGGCAGGCCATCACTCGAGGCACTGAGTTCTGGTTTGGGCACTGTTATGCTGGTTGTGAGCCAGGGGCTGGGTAAAGGGGAGTGACTTGAGCAGCCAGCCTTACAGCTGGAGTAAGGCAGCCCCAACTGTAGGAAGAGGTGAGTGCTTATTACCACGAGCAGGGGGTCCCTCTTTGGAAGAAGCTTCAGGGATCCCCAGGGCTGTGTGACCCAGACCTGAGGTTGATGAATAAGAGGGAGTGCTTTTCCAGCATGAAAGCCAGCACTTTTCCAGGGCTCACGCTTTTCAAACAACTTGTTTGCTCTCATTTTCCTCTCCCTTACCTTTATGCCAATCTGGTGATCTCCCTCCCAGCGTCCTTACTTGGAGGATCTGCGTTCAGTGCCCCTCTCTTAATGGCCTTCACCTGCAACTCATCCCAGACAAGAGGGCCCCTCCTCTCCAACCTTAATGGCAAAAGCAAAGAGGCCACCCAATTTGAGCACTCTTTTCTTTCTCTGTTACTGGGGATTGAACTCAGGGGCACTCTTAACCACTGAGCCACATCCCCAGCCCTTTTTTATATTTTATTTAGAGACAGGGTCTCACTGAATTGCTTAGGTCCTCACTAAGTTGCCAAGGCTGGCTTTGAACTTTTCGATCCTCTTGCCTCAGCCTCCTGAGCCGCTGGGATTAGGGGTGTGCTCCACCATGCCCAGCTACTCTAGCATTTTTTTGTTTTCGAGCTTTAGTCTCATCCACCCAGATTATTAAATGAAGTTTTTTGTTTTTTTGTATCAGGGACTGAACTCAGGGGCACTCGACCACTGATCCATATCCTCACTCCTTTTAATGTTTTATTTAGAGACAGGGTCTCACTGAGTTGCTGAGGGCCTTGCTAAATTGCTGACGCTGGCCTTGAACTCATGATCCTCCTGCCTCAGCCTCCTGAGTTGTCAGGATTACAGGCCTGAGCCACCACCGTGCCTGGAAATGAAGGTTTTCTACCCACCCAGAAGCAAGGTGGGCAGAAGCCTCAGCCAGGGAAAGGAGCACTACAGAGCACCCAGGGAAAGGATCAGGGAATACAGAGCCCAGGGGGAGGGGAGCAGCCAGTGGAGCTTGGACATTTCTGCTGTGGTCTCACTATTTGGGCAGGAGTGAAGCTCAGTGATATGGAAAAATACTGAAAGGGAATGCAGATGGAGATGATAGGAACTTGCATCCTGCTGAGAAACCAGAAACCACAACTCAAGGGCAAAATCCCCATGTGAGTTCTGGTTTGGGCACTGTTACGCTGGCTGGCATTACAAAACCAGCATTCTCCACTGCCACCCATGTGAAATTGCTCAATGGGCCCTGATGAGATATGCACAATTGCGGAATCAGAGCAGCAATTTCTCAAACAGATTATTCATATAAATGACAAAGAAAAAAAAATCTTGCCTCCATTCTATCCTAGGCCAGGGACAGAATGAGGTGAGCCAAATGAGGTATTCACCAGGGGCACAAAATTTAAATGGGCATCAGAATACTCAGCAATCAAGATGAAAAATTTAAAATATTTTATAAAATAAACACAAATGCAAAAAATGCATGATGAGCAAACTATAGAAATTATAAATATGAGCTGGGAGTGGTGGCACATACCTGTAATCCCAGTGGCTCAGGAGGCTGAGGCAGGAGAATTGTGAGTTCAAAGTGAGCCTCAGCAACTTAGCAAGGCCCTGAATAACTCAACAAGACCCTGTCTCTAAATCAAATATAAAAAAGGGCTGGATGTGGCTCAGTGGTTAAGCACCACTTGGGTTCAATTTCTGGTAAACCCCTCGCCCCCTAAAATTATAATTATAGATAAGATCCAACCCTGGAACTTGCATGATACATCTCTGTCATCTCACCCATGTTCTAACCCTGTCATGTATTACAGTGGCTGGTAGATCATAAGCTGCCAGAGGGCAGGGTCCTGTCTTAGTCTCTCCTGGGCCTATATAGTATCAGATATATAGTAGGTGCTCAATAAATATCTGTTAACTGACTTCAGACATGTTGGCAGTTAGCTGATGGGTTTGTCCCTCTGCTAGTTCGTTCACTCACTTTCTTGCTTGCTCACTCACTGTGTACTCTGGGTCTCCTGCCTACTAGGCACGTGCCAGCAGGGAGAAGAGACATAAGGGCGGTCAGGTTCACTTGTGCAGGTTGTCTATTGCCCAAATCCAGGAGGCCCTATTCACATAGATGGCAGTGCACCCAGCTTCCCCTCTGGTTGGGCAGTAGAGCTGCAGGTGATGGGGTCCAAAAAAGAGAGAGGCTGAATTCAGCCTGATGGGGATGGGTGCTATAACACCAACTGTTGATGACAGAGCAGAAGAAGAGCCAGAGAACAAAAAGTTCATGAAATAAAGGGCCCCTGTCCCCTCTGCTGTTTGGCCTCGGTCCTGGGATGGTCCATGAAAAGTAAGGGACCTGATCATATTATTTGTGGCAGACCCATGGAATGCTGGGCTCTTTCCCTGGAGCAAAATGAATCTCAAGAGTCTGGGAGAAAATTCTGGACCATGAGTTGAGGCAAAGGACATGTGTAATAAATCATGTGTTCTTTGATAACTGGAGAAAGACCACTGCAACACACATTAGCTCATGAGAGCCTCACAAAAACCCCAGCAGTGGAAGAGACACCCTCGATTTGGAGGGGCTGGGTGACCTGCTCAAGGTCACAGGCTAATGAAGAGCAAAGGCAGGGCTGGAATGGAGACTTGCTGCCCCCAAGGCCAGCGCTCTGGCTCCTGTAGGACCACGAGTCACAGCTTCTCCCTGCTGGCCCCCCCGAGAGCCCCGATCCACCTTTGAGATTCTCACAATGAAGAAAGGCCTTCATTGTTCTGGTTTTGGTCTCTGATCAAGTGACTCCCTTCTGGCCGAGCCTGGATCCCACTTCTCTAATGAGGCACAAAGCTTCTTTCAGTCCCTTGGCTGCGGCAGAAAGGAGACCCTCCTCCTTTCTCTGCTCCCATTCCTGTGCTGTGCATCTTTGGTCGCACCTGGCTGCCCTGAGACACCATCCCCTGCCTCCTCGCACGCACCATGAGCACACAGCTGACTTCTCCTTCCAGTGTTTTCTGCCTGGGCCATCTGTGCACTCGTGGGCCTCTGGGACTGCAGCCTGACCTCCTATCTTTGCTTTCATAGCCCTGACCGGGCTCACAACGATGGTTTTTATGTCAGAGCCTAATGTGGGTTGAATGTGTCCCCAAAAGTTCATGGGTTGGAAACTTTATCCTGTGTCCTCATTAACAAATTAGTATCACTGCCATGGGAGTAGGTTCAGTGCCGTGCGAATAATTTTGTTATAGAGGTGACTTAGGTCCACGTGCGGTGTCACACACCTGAGATTCTAACTACTTGGGAGTCAAAGGCAGGAAGATTGCAAGTTTGAGGCCACCGTGGGCGACTTAGTGAGACTCTGTCTCCAAATCAAATAATAAATAAATAAAAGTGAGCTGTGTCTAGTATGCATGCTCTGTTCTACCATGTGATACCCTGTACCATGTTATAAAGCAGCAAGAAGACCCTCCCCAGACACTGAGCAGATGCTGGTACCCTGCGTATGGACTTCCCAGCCTCCAGAATTGAGCCAAATAGACTTTCAGTCTTTATAAACTACCTGGTCTTGGGCAGTTTATTACAGCAACAGAAAACTGACTATAACTTCAATATCCTTTCTCATAATATTCAATAGCATACTGTTGAGCAGACAATATCACTCTGCCTGCATTGTAGACCTTCTAAAGGCTTCATTTCTCATTGCCTCCTCTTGCTTTGCACATTTTGAAGAACTTTCAGTAAGACATGATTTCTAAATAGCAGTTAGAAAAGGAGATTCTGGAAGTGTCAATCAGAATCTCTTTGCAGAGCCTGTTAATCAGCTGATTGTGCCCCTCACAAACCTATATATTAAAGCCCTAACTCCCAGTACCTTAGAATGTGACCTTATTTGGAAACAGAGACATTACAGATGTAATTAATTAAAATGTGGATACAGGGTGGCCCTAATTCAATAGGACTGGTGGGATTAAACTCAGGGGTGCTTAATCACTGAGCCACATCCTCAGCCCTTTTTTATATTTGATTTAGAGACAGGATCTCACTGAGTTGCTTGGGGCCTCATTAAGTTGTTGAGGCTGGCTTTGAACTCACGATCCTCCTGTCTCAGCCTCCTAAGCTGCTGGATTTACAGGCATGCATGCCCAGCTACTGGTGTTCTTATAAAGAGGGGAAATTTGGACAGAGAGCCAGCCAGCCACACAGACAGAATCCCATGTGAAGATGAAGGTAGAAATGAGAAGAATGTATGTATAAGCCAAGGAATGCCAAAGAGGCCAGAAAGCCCCAGAAGATTCTCCCTCTGGGCCCACAGAAATTACCAACATGGTTGACACCCTGATCTTGGACTTCTAGCCTCTAGAACTATGAGACAATAAGCTTCTGTTGTTTAAGTTGCTGAGGCTATGGTACTTTGCCCTACCAAACTGATAGAACCTATTAAAATTTATTCCCATATTCTCCCCCGCCCTTTTTTTTTTTTTTTTTTTTACAGTAGTGGGGATTGGACTCCTGGGACTGTAGAGCTCCACCCCCACCCCCAGCCCAGCCCTTTTTCACTTTATATTTCAAGTCAGGATCTCGCTAAGTTGCTCAGGCTGGGCTCCAACTCCTAGGTTCAAGGGGTCCCCTGCTTCAGCCTCCCAAGTGGCTGGGACTAGAGGTGATGAAAATAATTTTAAGGAGAGTGAAGGGAGGGGAGGGGGCGAGGGGGTAAGAAGGACAGTAGAAAGAATCAGACATTATTATCCTATGTGCATATATAACTATAAGACTAGTGGGATTCTACATCATGTACAACCAGAAGAATGAGGAATTATACTCCATTAAATATGATGTATCGAAGTGCATTCTACTGTCATATATAACTAATTAAAACAGATTTCAAAAATTTTTAAAAAGAGAATGATTTACAGAAAATAGGTAGAGGTTTAATAAGATTTGTTATTAATAATATAAGTATGATATATAAAAAAATAAATTTTAAATTGCCTTTTATTTTAAAAATCAAATGTCACTACTCGTGAATCAGGGAACTATGCCCCTTGGCACGTGGCATGGCTATCCGCCGCCTCTCCTGATAGCAGAAAATTGCTTTTCCTCAAGGCAAGTCTTCTGCAGGGCCCTATGACATACCTGGTCCTGTTTCCCCCAGATGATCTGTGTCGGGACCTTGATCTTGTCCATGTTCTGATGAAGAGAATATCTGGACTTTTCATTGACGATTTCTAAAAACACTTGTCAAGACCAAAAGGAAAACGGAGTTAAGTGTATGCCTGGTTGCAAACAAACCAAAGGCTGAATGTTCTCTCTGATATGCAGATGCTGACTCACAAAAGATGGGCTCTGTGTGTGTGTGTGTGTGGGGGGGGGGTCACCGTATTGGACAGGGTGGAGTGCGGGTGGGGAGGATGGGAATGGGAAAGACAGGGGAATGAATCAGACATGACTTTCCTATGTTCGTATATGGATACACAACCAGTGAAACTCCACATCACGTACCACAAGAATGGGACATTACATTCTATGTGAGTATAATATGTCAAAATACACTCTACTGTTGTGTCTAACTAAAAAGACCAAATAAAAAACAATTTAAAAAAAATTGTATGCCAGGTTGTGCCTGGGGACACTGCAGTACAGACAAGAGATCATCCAGTCAAGGATACTACCTCCTCTCCTCAGGGGCCCAGGAAAGGTTCAAAGTTGCAGAGGTTTAAGAAATGAAAGGCAGCCAGTCATGAAGCGTGACTTCCAATACGTTCCAAGCTGAAAGCTGGGGCTACTTACACTTTCTGTAGAAGTTGTTATGAGGGATGCGGACATCGACAAGGCCTTGCAGGATCTGAGGATAAAGAGCCCAAAGTTAGATGGCAAGAGAAGACTCAGAGCCGGGGGCGGTGGCACACACCTGTAATCTCAGCTACTAGGGAGGCTGAGGCAGGAGGATCGCAAGTTTAAGGCCATCCTGGGCAACTGAGCGAGACTGTGTCTCAAAATAAAATTAAAATGGGACTGGGGTTGTGGCTCAGCGGTAGTGCACCCACCTAGCATGGGCAAGGCCCTGGGTTCAATCCTCAGCTCCACATAAAAATAAATAAATAAAATAAAGGTATTATGTCCAACTACAACTAAAAAATAAATATTAAAAAATAAACAAATTAAATTAAAAGTGCTGGGGATGCAGCTCGATGGTTGTGTGCTTGCCCAGCATGCACCCTGGGCCCAGTCCCTAGCACTACAAAAGAGGAAGAAAATCTTCACTACAAAAGGGGAAGAAAATTTAGCAATTTACTGCATTGCCAAAGGCAGGTCCTACAAATTCTCATGCAATGCAGTGGGGAGTGGGATCTTAAAAGGCTTTTCTTTTAAATTAGGGAGGAACTTGGGTAATACTGTGAAGCCCAAGGTCCCCTGCAGGATAGAAAAGACAGCTAACATGGCCTGACAGCTGCTTTATCTTGAGAAATTCTCTGCTTAGCTCATGATGCAATGAGGATGAATATAATATCAAGGAATTATTCAGTGATATCCAAATATAAAACTTTTTTTTAAATTGAAACATTGGGGATAAAGGGCTTATTAACAACGAAGAAATAATCTATTGAGAAAATTCTGGAGAGGGTCTCATACTGCTCTGTTCATCATTTAGCATCATCTTTGCCCTTCTTGCTGAGGACTGGTAAGGGTGGCAGCAAATGTGGACAGGCCAAATCACCTGCACCTAGTCTGCTGACCCAAAGAAGTGGCCATGGCCAGGTTGGGCACAGTGGCACATGCCTGAAATCCCAGGGGCTCAGGAGGCTGAGACAGGGGGATCGCGAGTTCAAAACCAGCCTGAGCAACTTAGCAAGGCGCTAAGCAACTCAGGGAGACCGTCTCTAAATAAAACATAAAAAAGGACTGGGATGTGGCTCAGTGGTTAAGCGCCTCTGGGTTCAATCCCTGGGACCAATAATAATAATATTATTATAGCCAGAAGGAACACAGTCCTCCACTTCCTCTGCCTCAGGAGTCATAGGTAGAGTACAGGGTTCACACGAGCAGCTGCTACTCCTCTCATCTACTTGGGAACATAGCTAGTCCCTCAAATGTATTCTCTCTGGAGTCCTGTGCACTGACTGAAGCTGGAAAGAACCACTCATGGCTGCTTTGACTAAACCGACCTCTTGGAGCATGACTAGAATCTGAATGGTTTTAGAAATAAAAAGGCTGAAGTGAGACCAATGAAAATTTTTTGCACAATACTCTGCTTGGCATCAGACATTTTCTTTGTTCTGCTATTCATCCTGTACCCCTGCCTCTAACCATCCTGCATCCGTCCATCCTTCACCTCTGCTTGCTTGATGGATGAATCCATCCACCCCGCTTCCCTGAGTCATATATTCCTGTGTCTATCCCATCCTGAATTCATTAATCCATCCATCTTCCATTCCTGCAGTATCCACACATCCTGCAACCCATCCAACCAACCATTCAGCCACTAATTCATCTATACGTGCACCTTCAGAGATCATGCACATATAGATCATGCATGAGCTATGTATCCATCATTCCTACATCCACCCATCCACACATTTTCCATCCCTACATTGTCAAGGCATCCTATGCAAGCATCGGTCAATCCTCTCTACACCCAGGACCTACCTCATGCAAGCACTGTGCTAAGATCTAGGGACAGAACAACCAATTAAGACAAAGTCCCTGATCTTAAGAGCTTAGAGTAGATGACACAGACAAGTGAATACAATCACAAGATGGCACAGCGAGCCGTGTTGGGTATTTCTGCTCTCCTGGGAAGGAAAGATTTTGGAAGTGCCATTTATTTTGTCTTAAAAATTTCCCATGCCTGACAACTCGTAATAGATTTCTTTTTTTTAATTGAGAATCTGATTTAGTCCCCATTTCCCTTTCCAACGTTATCACAACCCATTCTTTCTCAGCTCCAGCCATCTGCTCTCCTTCCCTAGCCCTGAACTTGTATGCCTTTTCCAATACTGCACAAGGGGTTTCCTCACAGAGGATTATTAGAGATATCCATGTCCCTCTGTTTTTAATCAACACACGATCTTCATTTCCTTTCTAAAACTAGTTTAAATTTTTAATTTTTTGTTTACTTGTAGATGAGCAGATGGAGCAGGGAAGCTGGCGTTCACCACCAGAGCCCCGCGTAGATGGCAAGAGCGTCATGCTGAGACCACCTTACCTGCTGGGGCACCTTGAAGCGGACATAGGAGCAGAGCTGGAGCATTTCACTCATCTCTTCTGGGGTAGACGGGATCAAGGGAATCTTCTGCATGGCGGCCGAGTCCTGCAGTTCTTTGAGTCGTTGTACAAACTGATTATCAGTTGAATACTGCAAACCTGTGGGATTTAAACCCAAACAGCTGAACAATACATCTACCTTCTTTTATTTCAGTAGTAGAGATTGATCCCAGGGGTGCAATACTACAGTACTACTGAGTTACATAAACAGCCCCAGTCCTTTTTTTTTTTTTTCTTAATTTTGAGACAAAGTTTTGCTAAGTTGCTTTTTTAAGGCTGGCCTTGAACTTGCAATCCTCTTCCCTCCGCCTCCTGAGTTGCAGGGATTACAGGTATGTGTTACTGCGTCCAGCTCATCCAACCCCCATTTTATGTAGGCAACTTTCAATAGCAGCCAAAAGCTAATACATTTCCAGTTTCTTTCACCAGTAGATTTCTTTTCTTTTCTTTTGCTACAAGGATTGAACCCAGGGGCTCCCTAACTACTGAGCCACATCCCCAGTTCTTTTTATATTTTATCTAGAGAAGGGTCTCGCTGTGTTGCTTAGGGCCTCACTAAATTGCTGAGGCTGGCTTTGAACAAGCTATTATCCTGCCTCAGCCTCCCAAGATTTCTTTTTAATTGGCACTGCCATGTGTGTTCAAAGTCAAAACCATGCTCTGAGCAACACAGAAAAAAATAAAAATCCTTCAAGGTATTTTAGGGCTGGTTATTCACACAAGTCCATGCCTCAGGAACATCTGGACTGCCCCCCCCCCCACCAAAAAAAAATGCAGGAGGCTCAACCTCTTGAAGCAGAATCTGCATTTTATATGACACAATATGAGAACAAGCCTAGAAGCACCTGGCCTGTGCCCTTTGCACACCTGTGTCGTTTAGAGGCTATCTGAGGCACCACAGGTTGGAGGAAAACTCAGGGCTGGAGTGATGGACTGTTCCTTCTTCCCTTGTCCTGGACCCCCTTGGTCCTCTCCCAAAGCATAGGGAGTGTGTGAATCTTCTCTTGAGCTATCCCTGGTTTGGGGCAGAACATAGGCCTTCTGCCTCTAGAAGAGCATTAGGGCACAGCTGAGACTGATTCCCTTTGAGGTTGCCCATTTTTTCCTATAACCCTGAAGCATGACACGAGAGAGTCCAGTGGCTGGCATTACACAGAAGGGCAACACTTAATCCGGGCACGGTGGCGCACGCCTTAATCCCAGTGGCTCAGGAGGCTAAGGCAGGAGGATCACAAGTTCAAAGCCAGCCTCAGCAAAAGCGAGTGCTAAGCCACTCAGTAAGACCCTGTCTCTAAATAAAATACAAAATAGGGCTGGGGATGTGGCTCAGTGGTCGAGTGCCCCTGGATTCAATCCCTGTACCAAAAAAAAAAAAAAAACAGATGATCTTAAAAGATGGTCAGAGATTCACCCCGCCCTGCTCCAGTCTCTCACAGGGAGGTTCGGCCTCATGACTCACCAGCAGGGCACACGAGACACAGGCTGGAGATATCCGATGGGTAGTAGGCCGCGTACACTCCAGCCACGTGGCCGCCCATGGAGGTGCCTATCAGGTGGAAGGGTTTTTTGTTCAGCTTAAGGCATTCCACAAACTAGGAAGGGAAACAAGAAGGAGGTAGTTATACAGCTGAGACGATGACAAAGGTAATTCCAGTGCAGAGGCCCCCGTCCAACAGAACATGGCTGTGGACAGCTGAGAATGGCTATTGATAAGAGGTCTGACACCCTCCTAGATCCATTATCAAGACAAGCCTGGTGCCTGGATGTACTTCTCTTTACCCAGGGCAAGTGACCATCTAGGTATAAATCTCCAAGGATACCCCTAATTAATAAGCCAGTAAGTTTTTCCATATAGGTCAAGAGAGTAAATATTTTCTGTGTCATGGGACATACAGTCTGTTGTTCCTAGTCTTCAGCTCTGCAGCTACACCACAAAAGCAGTCAGAGACAATCCCTATGCAAATGAACATGGCTGTGTTCCAGTTTAACTTTGTTTACAAAAACTGTGGTCCTAGGCCAGGAGTGGTAGCACACACGTGTCATCCCAGTGGCTTGGGAATTTGAGGCAGGAGGAATGCAAGTCAAATCCAGCCTCAGCAACTTAGCAAGGCCCTCAGCAACCTAGTAAGATCCTGTCTCTAAATAAAATATAAACAGGGATGAGGATATGCAGCAGTGGTTGAGTGCCTCTGAGTTCAATTCCCAGCCAAAAAAAATTGCAGCCCTAACTTAAAGTCTGTCCTTTCCAACCAACCATCCACCTATTGTCTAAAAACATATTTTGTACAAGGAACTAGGGTCAGGTGCTGGGGATAGAGCAAAGAGTCAAAGAGATAAGGTTCCTGACCTTATTAAAAAAATTTATGGGCTCGGGATGTAGCTCAGTGGCACACAGCTTGCCTAGCATGCATAAGGCCTTGGGTTTGATCCCCAATACTGCAGATAATAATAATAAGAACAACAACGCATGGTTTAATAGAGGAGACAGACATTATTAAATCAATATCTTCATCTGGAGAAAATACTTAATGTTAACCTGAAACTTATGAGCTACACAATCCTGAAATGGCTCATGAGACCCCATGACCTTGAGAGCTCAGGGGGAGAAAGCTAGAGACAGATGCTAGGCAGAGGTGCTACTGCTGTTATCATGCAGCTGGTGAGCAGAAAAACAGACCTCCAAACAGGGAAACAGAATTGAAGAATTCTCAACTCCTTTTTCCAAGAGCTGAGAAAATGCTCAGAATGTACTTCTTCACAGACACAGTCCACTTAGAGGAGAACAGCACCTAATTAGCCCAAGCCCTCCACAGCTGACCACGTCCTCATCTGTTTGGTTTGTGATCACTTGCAGACAGAATGTTCTGGAGACTGGTCAGGAGTCAGTGTGAAATTCTCTTTCCTGCTCCTAAGGGTTGGGCATGGGATGATGGGCAAGACCCAGTCTTGGAAATTTGGGGGTGGGGTGGGGCGCCTCCTTCTTACCTGATGTATCCTCTTGACTTGCCCATCTATGGACAGGTCATCCAGGGAGGAGCGAGTGGTGCCCTCGTGTCCTGGCATGTCCACGCAGACCAAGTGCAGGTTCTTTGGCAGGAACTAAGGATACAGAGACCCAGAGAATCAGTGTGTGGTGTGTAAAAGGTGTCTGCTCACTTTGCTGGGGAGGTCCCTCTGTCTTGACAAGACCTGGACAGCCTTTCTTGGGCCTGTTTTACCCGACTACTATGAATAAGCATGGTCAGAGCCTCACAGGGAGCAGAGGCCCCCAAGGACTAAGACACAGATGGAAAGGGGCTCGGGGAGGAGTGGGAAGAGGAGACAGAGCTTAGGCCAGCAGGCTCTCTCCCGCTCTTCCTTGACACTGCTGAGCACGTCCACCTTCCTTTCCTTTTCCTTCCACAGTTCACTCTAGCTGTACAGCCACCGAAGGAAACAGGAAGGATGGTTCTATCCTCCCAGAGACCTGACCATCTACAGAGCCAAGAGAAGCAATGTTTTCCCCAAATTATGTCTGGTTACCCTGATGCTGGTTTCAATTTTTTTTTTTCTTGGCATTAAGGTCTAATACTTTTTTTTTTGGTACTGGGGATTGAACTCAGGAGCACTCAATCACTGAGCCCCATCCCCAGCCCTATTTTGTATTTTATTTAGAGACAGGGTCTCACTGAGTTCCTTAGTGCCTCACTAAGTTGCTGAGGCTGGCTTTGAACTCGTGATCCTCCTGCCTCAGCCTCCCAAGCCGCAGGGATTACAGATGTGCATCACCGCGCCCAGCTAAGATCTAATTCTTGCGACTATCGTTACCCTAAACCACCTCTTCCATGCAGAGAAGATACCACTTTTAAACAGGAAACTGAGAAACATCAGTTATCAACAATGAACATCCAGTCACATAGAAGATGTTTATCTGAGGTGGGGACAGGAAGTGAGGCTGTCTTCATGGTGGTGTTTGGAACTAGAAGGTACCATTGACCAAGACACTAGAAGCTATGTGAGCCTTTTCCTCTCAGTCCAAATAATACCTGCCGGGGGTGGGAGCCTGGGATGCCGCTGCCTTCCCATGACTTCTGCAAGCTCCAGCCTTCATTAGCTGTTCACTCTTACCAAGTACAGCATGCACCACACCACATACACCTGGGCAAAAAGTGAGTTGGAAAACTACTCCAGGAAGCTGCCAGATCAAGAACATTTCTCTGGCTAAGAAAAAAAAAAAAAAAGCAGAAGTAGAAGTGGGGGAGGGGAGGAAGGAGCAAAACCAGCATGAGGCAGGGGGAGAGAGAGGTATCCTGGAGTATAAAATAATAAATGGCTGGGCGCAGTGGTACACCCCTGAAATCCCAGCGGCTCAGGAGGCTGAGGCAGGAGGATCCGTGAGTTCAAAGCCAGCCTCAGCAAAAGCGAGGCCCTAAGCAACTCAGTGAGACCCTGTCTCTAAATAAAATACAAAATAGGTCAGGGGATGTGGCTTAGTGGTCGAGGGCCCCCGAGTTCAATCCCCAGTACCCATTAAAAAAAAAAAGGAATAAATGGTTTTTTAAATCCCAGCCTGGGTCAGAAACCTTCCTTAACAAATATTCACGAGGTTAAAAGCTTTCTAAGGTTTCACAAATAATATTCAACTCAATCGACTTCTTCTGACAAAAGAGTTTGAAGACGGCACTGTGTTGATTTTGAGACTGAACTTGAACTGCACGGTCCTGGGTTCCCTTTGCTTTCTAGCATTGCCCATGATGTCACATACAAGTGGAAACCCTTTCTATCTGAGAGAGAAGACTTTGGAACTGCACCTTGACCACACTGAGCCACATGTCCTTGTGCGCAGAGAATCCGTGGAGCATGAGGATGGACGGCTTGTGCCCCGGTCTGCCCCGGAAGGAGTAACAGAACTGATAGTCTTCATGGTGCACGTAGCGGACCTGCATGCCCAACGTCCTCCGCCAGTACCTAAGGGGAGATAAAGGTAAACAGAAGGCAGCATGCTCTGGTAAGTGGCTTCAGGTCCTCCCTAGATGTCCTCCTTAGTGGTGGGACAAACTTCTCCCAGATCTTGCTGTCTGGGAGACCACCCAGGACTTCAACCTCAAGGAGCACTAAGAAGGGAAAAGAGGTGTTTTCTTAAGAAACAGGTCACATTTAATAAACCTCTTGCTAAAATACATTTCTGGAGACTCCAGAGGGCTAACTTCTTTCCTGGGAACCGTGTGCACCCCCGTCCTCTGGCTCTGATTCTCACAACATATGGCTGGGGGCTGAAGCTTGGCTTCTGTTGGTTACATAAGACTTGGCAGTGGTGCAGTTTGGCCCCATATCAATTTCAATATGAAATTACCATAGAAACAAACTGAACTCTGTATGTGAAGAAGCTCTCCAAGATCAAAAATAATTAATTCAATCAGAGATTCACTTTGTGATGTACTTTGCACTAAAAAAGAAGCAAAGTCCTGTAAAAGCAAATAACCTTAACCCACTGGTCTTAACATTTGTGTAAAAATAAGGGGAAAGGGGAATAAGGAATTAGAGTCTTATTTACTTGTATCTGCACACAAAAGTGTGGGAACACTAAAAAGGCATCATTAAGACAAGTAGCTAGAGCGGAGGTAGAGAATGAGGTGAGAAGTAAGTGGAACAGAATAGAGGTGGGAGGGAGACTTTTGTGTTCTTTTTGGTATTTTTCAATGAGTGCATTGCCTACTCAAAAGATTAAAAACGCAATAAAGTTGGCTAGCTTAAAAGCTCTCCTTATCAGGAAGTGAGCATATTTCAAAATTCTAAATCATGGCACCATAATGTGAACATTTCATTCATTCATATCCTGGCTCATTCATTTACTAACTATACATTTTTTTTTCTTTTTCTTTCTTTTTTTTTTTTTGTACCAGGGATCGAACTCAAGGGTGCTTAACCATTGAGGCACATCCCGAGCCTTTTTTTATTTTGAGACAGAGTCTAAGTTGCCTGCAGTCTCACTAAATTGAACCTGTGATCCTCCTTCCTCAGCATCCTAAACTGCTGGGATTACAGGCATGTACCACCACACCTGGCTTTAACTATATGATTTTGAACCTCAATTTCTTCATCAACAATATGGGGAAATGTTGCATTCTGCTAAGGATATAGGAAAGGTTAAAAGAGAAAATTCACTGGGTACGGAAGTGCACGCCTGTAATCCTAGGGGCTTGGGAGACTGAGGCAGGAGGATCCCAAGTTCAAAGTCAGCCTCAGCAACTTAGCAAGATTCTGTCCTAAAATAAAAAATAAAAAGGGCTGAGAATGTGGCTCAGTGATTAAGAACCCCTGAGTTCAATCCCTGGTACCAAAAAAAAAAAAAAAATCCCAACAAGATACACCTTTTGTAGCTCAGTGGTAGAGCACCTTCCTAGCATATGCAAGGCCTTGGGTTTGATCCTTAGCACCACCAAAACAAAACAGTCCTCATGCCCTTTGACTTAGTGATTGTACTTCCAGAAATGAGAAAGAAAATGTCTTAAGGAAATAAGCAGAAGTCTTGAGAAAAATAATTTTTTTTAAAGAGAGAGAGAGAGAGAGAGAGAGAGAGATTTTTTTTAATATTTATTTTTTTTAGTTTTCGGTGGACACAACATCTTTGTTTGTATGTGGTGCTGAGGATTGAACCCGGGCCGCACGCATGCCAGGAGAGCGCGCTACCACTTGAGCCCCGAAAAATAATTTTTTAACATGTTCAAACAGTGTTATTAAAATTAGAAAAGGAATGGGCTGGGGTTGTGGCTCATGGTAGAGCCCTTGCATGTGTGAGGCACTGGGTTTGATTCTCAGCACCACATATAAATAAATAAATAAAGGTCCATTGACAACTAAAAAAAATGTAAAAAAAAAAAAATTAGAAAAAGAAGTTGGACATGGTGGCACAGGAGACTAAGGTAGGAGGATTGCAAGTCGGAGGCCAGCCTCAGCAACTTAGTGAAGACCCTCTGCAACTTAGTGAGACCCTGTATTAAAAGAAAAAAAAATACAAAAAGTCTAGGGATGTTGCTCAGTGGTAAAGTGCTCTTGGGTTCAATCTCTAGCATGAAAAAATAAATAAATAAAATAAAGACAGGGGGGCGGGGAAAGGAAACAAAAAAGAAAATAAATAAAATCAGAATGTTAATCAATGTTAATCTTAGTGTCCATTAATAGAAAATGTATTACCTAAATCACTAAATAGCTACACAATGTAGTGTTTTTGTTATTTAAAAAGGTTTTCAAAGAATATTCAATAATATGGAAAAATATCTATGACATCATTTCAAGTAAAAAGCAGGACCCGCTGGGCACAACTGTAATCCTAGTAGCTCAGGAGGCTGAGGCAGGAGGATCAGGAGTTCAAAGACAGGTTGAGCAACTGTGAGGCACTAAACAACTCAGTGAGACCCTGTCTCTAAATAAAATGCAAAATAGGTCTAGAGATGTGGCTCAGTGGTCAAGTGCCCCTGAGTTCAATCCCCAGTACCAAAACCCAAAAACAAAAAAAACAGGACCCAATTTTTTATACTATGGATTCTGATTCTGATTCTGCTAAAACATTTTGAATTATACACTGATAAGGTGGGGGGGGAGAGAGGCAGAAAGAACAACAGAGGAATTAAAGAAAATGATTCAAGGGATTATGGGTTCTTTTGTGTTTTCTTCGTTACTTTTTAATAGTCTTCTAATTCTCTAGAACTCATACAGATCAAGGAGGATCTGGGAAGCCCTTCTGGACTAGGCGAGACCTGAGCAAGCTACTGGATACTCAACAAGCATTCGCTGAAGACGTTGGGAAAGGTGTAAACCCGCAGAGGCCAGGGCGTGGCCAGCTAGGCCAACTGAACCCAGGGTGGAGAGAGCCAGGGCTGGCAAGTGAGGACCCCGTCACCAGGTGGAGCTCTCTGGTACTGGAAAACCTGACCTATGGCTCCAGAAACAGGGAGCAGAAGGACAAATATTTTCATTAACTTAAAATGACACCCTCAATGAAAGAACAGCCAAAGGATTCTAAGCGGTTGGTCCAGCTAAAAAATGATGCCAATGGCCCAGAAGGAAAACCCCGTGGCCCAACTTCTTTGGTTGAATGATAATAGTAAATTCTGACTCACAAAGTTGGAGATTAGACTTAGCTGCCACTTTACAGAACAGAAACAACCAGAAGAATTAAGTTGGGATGAATAAATGTCTCAAGATCAAGTTCTTTCCCAGATTTAGTAAAGAAGCCAAACTGCTCCTATTTCAGGGACAGAAGTCATTGAAGACTCTATTGATCTAAATCAAGAAGCCCAAGCTGGGCGCGGTGGCACACACCTGTCATCCCAGCATTTCAGGAGGCTGAGGCAGGAGGATCATGAGTTCAAAGCCAGCCTCAGCAACTTAGCCAGGCCCTAAGTGACTGAGTTGCTTAGGGCCTGGCTAAATTGCTGAGGCTGGCCTTGAATTTGCAATCTTCCTGCTTCAGCCTCCCAAGCCTCTGGGATTACAGGCATGTGCCACCATGCCCAGCCATTTGTTTCCATCTTTTGACTATTTTAAAGATTGCTGTTATGAATATTAGCATATGAATATTGTTTGAGTCCTTACTTTCAGTGCTTTGTGGTATATACCTATGGAGTGGAATAGCTAGATTGTATGTTAATTCTGTTTTCTGTTCTGAGGAAACACTAAATTTGTTCGCAGTCACTATGCCATTTTACAGTCACACCAGCAATGCATAAAGGTTACAATTTCTGCATATCTTCCCACGTTTATTTTTTAAATGTCATGTATATTTTTCCACAATAAAAAGAAAGAAACTCATACTCGATAGCACTCATTTGGGCTGGCCTTGAATTTACCATCCTCCTGCCTCTGGCTTCTGAGTCGCTGGGATTACCGATGTGCACCAACACAACCAGCTTGCGCCCCTCTGCTTTTAAGGGTTAATGTCATTAGATCAGGCCCATGTGGACATCCTCCAGTTTTAAAATCAGCTATATACAACATAACTGTATATAACATAACAACCATGGGAATGGTATGTCATCAGAATCATAGATCCTGGGGATTGGGGAGGGACATCTTTGAGAAACCAACTTAGTAATTCTGCCAACTAAAGGGGTCAAGATTAAGCTGTTTTCCATGGATATCTAGTTAACCCAGTCCACTTACCCCATTGCTACCTTTGTTAGAGATCAAGAGATAGGGCTGGAGCAGGGCGTCCAGGCCTGTAATCCCGTGGTGGCTCAGGAGGCTGAGGCAAGAGGATTGCAAGTTTCAAATCAACCTCAGCAATTTAGTGAGACCCTAAGCAACTCAGCAAGACCCTGTCTCTAAATAAAATATGAAAAAGGGCTGGGGATATGACTCAGTGGTTAAGTGTCTCTGGGTTCCATCCCTGTTACCAAAGACAGAGAGAGAGAGAGAAAGAGAGAGACAGAGACAGGCAGAGACAGACAGGGCTGGAGCACTTTGGTGGAACAGCACTTGACTAGCATGTGTAAGGCCCTGGGTTTGATCCACCATGCAAAAAAAAAAAAAAAAAAAAAAAAAATCAAAACCCCATATCTCCGTCTCTTGCTAGACTCTCTGGGTCTATCTGCTCCCCTCTGTGCTAATTTCACACGACTTGATTTATTATAACTTTACAAATAGTCTTGATAGCTAGTAATATAAATCATCTAGCTTTGTTCTCCTTCAAAATCATCTTGCTTAATTAGCCCTTTGCTTTTCCTTGTAAACTTAAGAATAAGCTTATTAAAATCCATTAAAAAAAAAAAAAAAAACCTGTTGGGATTTCAAATGCATGTACACGAAATCCACAGATCACTGTAGGGAAATCTGACATCTCTATAATAAGAAGTTTTCCATCCCACAATATAGTCTGTTCTTCTATTCATTTAGGTCATTTTTAAAATTTTTTTTAAAATTGTAGATGGACACAATGCTCTTTGTTTTATTTATTTATTTTTATGGTACTGAGGATCGAACTCAGTGTCTCTCGCATGCTAGGCAAACATTCTACCACTGAGCTATGGCCCCAGCCCTCATTTAGGTCTTTTTAACTTTCTCTCATGAATACATTGTAGTTTTCTATGTAGAATTCTTCCATATTGTTCTCTAGACTTAGCCTCAGTATTTTATAATTGTTGATACTATGGTAAATGGTATCATGACACTCTCATTCTCTGTCTGTTGCTGGCCTATGGGAGTGCAACTGATTTGGGGTTACTTATCTTGTATTCAGCAACCTAGCCAAATTTACCTATTAATTCCGATAAATTGTCTACAGATTTTTTTTTAGACTTTTTATGCATACAAGCCTGCCACGTGCAAACAGTGTCAGTTTTATTTCTTCATTTCTGACCCTTATCCATTCTTCTCTCTTGTATGTATACAAGCAAATTATTTGCTAAGATTTCTTTATTGCACAAACAAGTTTCTTTGGAAAAGCAAAAAACTTAGAAAAAAATCTCAGTCTTTTTCACCCTGGGAAGCCCTGATATTTTCATTATGCAATGAAAGTCAGTATAGTCTCTGACGGAGCAGAAGCTGCTCATCCACCATAGCTACAGAACCCCCAGTTGTGCTTCTCTGTCAACTCACGGCAAAGCATCTGGCACCTTCTGCAGGAGCAACTACGGTTCACGGTTCCAGTCACTATGGAAATGAGGGACAATTTAATCCAAAGAGAACTGATCTTAAGACTTACTGCGGACTACCAGGGACACCTCTCCCTGTACTCCAATATTCCAGAGGGAGTCAGGAGCGCGTGCTGAGATGACCTCACCAAGCCCTTGTGCTGGGACAGGCAGCAGGGCAGGGTGGGGGTGTGGGGGTGTGTTCGGGTGTGGAGCTACCTCTGCTGCCTGCTGTTCCTGTTTGTCTGGCAATCTTGAAACTTCACCTGACTCACCCAGGTCTGCCAGTTTATTATGGGCAGCTGAGCAGAGGAAGGCCTTTGGGATAGCTGTGATTGAGGGATATAAGGGTAAAGTTGCTCATTCTCTGACAACCACTGCATAAATGTCACCTGTCGTGAGTTTCTTTGGTGGAAACAGGCTGTGCTTTTCGGAACAGCAGAGGAAGCCACTCACAGGACTTCTGACAGCTCTCTGCCATGGCATCCTGGGCGCTATTACTGTCATCATAATCTCCATGTCACAATACCATCTGGCATGATCCGAAAGGTTTTCCAGGATTTTTTTCCCCCATCCTTTTCAACCCAGCTGGGACTTCTCGGCCTGTGTGTTTGAGTACACAAGATAACGAGCATTGTGTTTGTCTCTGGGCCACTGCTCTGAGCTGGGTAACCAGAATGGGCAGGCTTTAAGATCACATGCATTGAGCCAGGTATATGCCTATAATACCAGTGACTTGGGAGGCTGAGGCAGGAGGATTGCAAGTTTGAGGCCAGTCTGACTCAAAATAAAACATAAAAAGGGCTGAAGATGCAGCTTAGTGGTGGATTGCCCCCGGGCTCAATAAAAATGAATTTTTTGCTATGCGGTATGATTCACAATAGACAAAACGTGGCAACATCCAAAATGTCCATCAACAGTTGGATGGATAAACAAAATGTGGTAGAATCATATTGTCTTAGTCTGTTTTCTGTTTTTATAACAAAATATCTGACATTGGGTAATTTTCAAAGGTAAGAGGTTTGTGGGGATTTTTTTTTTTTTTTTTTGGTGATTCATGATTCTGGAGGTGGGCAAGTCCAAGAATATGGTGCTGGCCTCTGCTCAGCTTCTGGTGAGGGCTTTGTCTGCTTCAACTGAGCAAAAAGCAGAAGGGCAAATGGGCATGTACAGAAAAGACAAACATGAGGATCTGCCTTGCTTTATAACAACCCACCGACATGCAATAGCTAATCCAGCTCTTCTAGAACTGCACTAATCCCTCTTAATGACCTAATCACCTCTAAAAGGCTCCACTACCTCTCAGTGCTGTTATGGTGGGAATCAAACCTCAACATGAATTGTGGAGGACAGAAACCACTGCACAGACATTATTCAGCTATAACAGGAATGAACAAACCTTAAAAATACATGCTAAGTGAAAGAAAGAAAGGCCATATAGTGTATGTACATAACAGGCAAATCCCAAAGAGACAAAAATTAGTGATTGCCAGGAGATGGGGAAAGAAAGCAACTGAGCATGACTGCTAACCAGAATGGGGGTTCCTTTGGGGAGGTGGAAGAGTTCTAGAATTAGATAGTGGCAACAACTGTACAACAACAAAACCACTGAACTATTTACTTCAACATGGTGAATTTTACATTATGCAAATTTGAATTCAACATAAAGATGAAATATTTCCCATGAGTTTATTTTTCCTCTTTAAAAATCAAAATTACTCTGACAGCCTTCTCCTTGAGAGCCTGGGGAGCCTGGGAGTGGAGAGACCAAGGCAGGATGGAGACTGGCCTCCCACGAGGTGGGTGGAATTAGCCTTTTATAATCACACCTCTGTGTGCAGCCATATCCATGGTTACAGTCCACATCAGTGAGCTGCATTCTCAGCTCCAATTAGATTTAACAAAAAAATGGCATTTGTGTGTGGAAGCCCACGGTGCCTTGGAAGGGCCATGAGATGGGGGCACATCCCTGGCCTCCCCATCTGGGGGCCACCCAGAATTCCTGCTACCAGTACTGTAAGGGCACTGCCATTTAAGTAGCTAAAGGCTTTTGCCCATGCAGAAGAGGGTCCTAGATGATCCTCTGAAGAGGTCACCACTCCTTACTCATCCTAAAGACAGTGAAACAGTAAAAGATGAAAAGCTGCCTTCTGTTCGATTAGCTTCTTTTCCAGGATCAGAGCCTGATGGCAGGTGGAAAATTCCACACTCAAACCAAGGGGAGCCAGAAAGAAGGGCTAGTCAACAGCAGTCTTCTGTGCACAGGAGTTACCAAAGCTCCTCCACCTTCCCCAAGTCCCAGTTAAACCCCAGTGGGCTTACCCAGCACAGAGGAACTGTATCCACTTTACCATGGTGGCAGGAGGGGTAGGTTTATTTGATAAATGGACAGGAAGAAAAGAGTCATGAAGAGGTTGCTTCCTTTTCAAGTGCTAACCTGATTCCCCCCAAGGACAAAGGCTCTGTGCAGGGCAGCCCCACCTTTCTGGCCTCTCATTCCAGGTACCAAGGAAAAAAGAGGCTCAGAGCCTTTGGCCCGCAACAGTATCAGGGCTAGAACTTAACAAGGTTCTCTAATGTCACTGTGTTTTTTATTTATTTTTTTTATACTAACTTTCGGCTTATGGTACACAGGGCAAGCTTGCAATTTACAGTGGTGATATTTGTATCACTTTTTTGTTTTGGACCAGGGATTGAACCCAGGAGCACTCTACCTACCACTGAGCTATGTCCTCAGTCCTTTTTCTTTTCTTCTCTTTTTTTTGGTACAGGGGATGGAACCCAGGGGTGCTTAGTCACTGAGCTACATCCCCAGCCCTTTTTATTTTTTATTTGGAGACAGGGTCTTACTAAGTTGCTGATCCTGGCCTTGAGCTTGTGATCCTCTTGTCTCAGCCTCCCGAGGCGCCAGGATTACAGACTTGTGCCACCATGTCTGGCACATCACTTTTTAAATGAATAAATTTGAGGTTAAAAAAAAAAAAAAAGGTGACTTACTCTAAAGAAAATACAAAAGAAAAGAACAAGTAGTTCTTTTAGGGCAGAAACAGGTGGAACAAGAATGTCAGACATTTTTGAAATGTCTTTCTTTTTTCTGTCACTTTATAATTTAGAGCAACTCTAAGGCATTCTGCCCTACACATGCCTCTCACTGGTCCTGGAGTTTCTAATACTGTTTTTTTTTTTAAGTACCAAGGATTGAACTGACTGAGCCACATCGCCAGAACTTTTTTTTTTTTAATTTAGAGAGAGGGTCTCTTTGAGTTGCTTAGTGCCTCATTAAAAGTTACTGAGGCTGGCTTTGAACTCAACAATCCTCCTGTCTCAGCCTCCCAAGCCGCTGGGATTACAGGCATGTACTACCACGCCTGGCTGTAGTTCATTTTTCAATGACATCGATGCACCTGCCAGGACACTGCTAGGTCAGAATCCAGAGATGAGAAAAACACCAAAGGAGCCTCACAGACATGCACAGCCCTTGCTCATAGCCAGCCAGGGGCTCTGGGGTTGTGATGACCTCAAGAGCAAAGTGTTACCAGAAATCTGTAAGACCAGAAATCTGCAAGAATTAACCTGATGAAAAGCAACTACCAACTCTTCCCAAACCCTCCCAGAATTCAGGAGAGTGCACGTCTTTCAACTTTTCTTCATGCTTGAAATATTTCAGGATCAGATGGTGAACAATGGGACAGGCAGAGGAGATAACATCATGGTACTCTTGAGAACATCAATTACATAATCAACTTACCAATAATAGATTCTTATCAGTGCCGAAGGCCACAGGAGAAAGGAGGCTACAAATGCCAAGATGGGGATGGCCAGCGTCCCGCCTGCGATCACAAACATGTTCACCACGTCCAGGTCCATCCTGTTCTTCAAGGTCAGCCAACACCTGCAGGGGCTGGAGAGAGCAATGGTTTTGAAACCTTCTCCGGAGAGGAAAAGTGAAAGATCCACAAGAAAGGAACAGATCAGGAGGAAGCAAAGCAGACAAATGCTTCAGACAGACAAGACAACCAAAGGTAATGAGGTATCTCTCAGAGTCTTGTGTATTTTTTTTTCTTCTTCTTTTTTTTTAGGTGCTGGGGATTGAACCCAGGGCTTTGTGCATGCAAGACAAGCACTCTACCAACTGAGCTAGATCCCCAGTCCAGGTCTTGCATTTTTAGAGAAGGAAAATCAAAACTTTAAGGTACCTTGTGGGATAACTGGGAAGATCTGAGTAAGGACTAAGTATTAGATAATATTATTCTATCACAGCTACAATTCTGTCTGTGGTACCAGGCATTGAACCCAGGGGTGTGCTACCACTGAACTACATTCCTAGCCTTTTTATTTTGAGACAGGGTCTTGCTAAATTGCTAAGGCTGGCCTTGAACTTGCGATCTTGCCTCACACTCCCAAGTCACTGGGATTACAGGTGTGCGCAGCTACATTGGCTAATGCTGTATTTCTTAAGTATGATAAAGAAACCATGGGGTTGGGGTTATAGCTCAGTGGTAGAGCATTTGCCTCACAAATATGAGGCACTGGGTTCAATCCTTAGCACCATACAAAAAATAAGGTATTATGTCCACCTACAATTAAAAAATAAAATATTTTTAAAAAGAAGCTGTGGCTATATATGTGTGTAGCAAAAAATGACCTCATTCTTCTGTACCTGCTGAAGTTTTAAGTGGCATATGATGGTATCTGCTCCTCACTTTTAAAAGTTCAGAAGAGAAAAGGTAATGTAAATATAAGTGGAGAGGGAGGGAAAGAAATAAAGCAAATACAGGGAATGTTAACCACTAGGGAATCCAGGTGGATGATATGGTATGACTCCTTCTACTCTCAACACACTTGAAATTTTAAAAAATAAAAAGAGGAATTGGGCATGGTGGTACATGCCTGTAATCTCAGCAGCTCAGGAGGCTGCGGTAGGAGGATCACAAGTTCAAAGCCACCCTCAGCAACTTAGTGTGGTCCTAAACAAATCAGTGAGACCCTGTCTCTAAATAAAGTATAAAAGAGGATATGGCTCAGTGGTTAGGCACCTCCGGGTTTCAATCCCTGGTACCAAGATAATAATAATTTTAATAATAAAAAATAAAAAGCACACAGAACCTTAAATAAATAAATGGAATAGACATATAGACATGTGTGCTTATACACACAGAATATCACTGGATGGGTATAAAAGAAACTGGCAATGGTGGTTACATTTAAGGTGGGGAATCATGCAGCTGCATGTCAGGGATAGATATGAGATTTGTTTTTTGCTTTTTAAATCTTTTGAATTATCATATAAATATATAACCTATTGAAAATAATACACCATAAGAAGTTGGGGGAGCAGGGTGCGGTGGCGCATGCCTGTAATCCCAGTGGCTTGGGAGGCTGAGGCAGGAGGATTGTGAGTTCAAACCCAGCCTCAGCGATAGTAAGGCTCTAAGCAATCCAGCAAACCCTGTCTCTAAATAAAATACAAAATAGGGCTGGAGGTGTGGCTCAGTGGTTAAGTGCCCCTGGATTCATTCCCTGGTATCAAAAAAAAAAAAGACCTTCACCAGGCACAAATAAGGCTAGCATGTAGGGTCCACAGGGCAGGGACGATGTCCCCTGAGCTGAGACTAAAGCCTGACATGTAACAGGCCCTTTTGATTGAAATTCAGTTCAATCAAAAGTTCCTATCTAATCCTGTCTCATGAACTCACAACATGGTTCATTCTGATGTGGAATGAAAACTATTGCAAGTCCCATTACCCTCCCTGACACAGAATACAACTCCTGCAAGGACCTGCAAGCCAGGTGTGATGCTCTGCCGTGACACCCAGCTACCTGTGTTAAATCAGAAAGTCCTTAAAAAATGCTGAGGGCCATTGGGAATTCTGACCCAGCTGCCAGAAGTTAATCACACCATGGAACTTTGGACCAGGAATTAGAGCATTTTCTGCCAAAGCCATATATTTCCCCAGAACACACTGCTCCAAGAAAAAGCATTAAGACCCACCAAATCATGGCCTTCCTTATGTTTCCTGTAAAGAGATTTCTCCCACACACCCCTGTCAAGTGATATTTATTTCAATTTTATAATGAACTCACTGACCTCACAACCATCGAGCACAAGGTCTGGCAAATGTGTCCCATAAAGGGCCACATGATGCCTGTGTTTGTGCTATGGGCCATGGAGTCTCTGCCACAACTACTCAGCCTGCCATCAGAGTGAGAGAGCAGTAGTGAACAATGTGTGATCAGTGGGTGTGACTGCGTTCCAATAAAACTTTATTTATAAAATTAGGCTGTAGACTGCATTAGGCCTACAGGCTGTATTTGCCAATCCTTGATAGATCACACCAACCCTGTCAGAGAGGCCAGGTGGTGTTTCATCACATTTTATAGGCTAGGGAAATCGAGACTCCATAAGGTTAAGTAACCTGCCAGAGGTCATCCAGTTGGTAGATTACAAAATAGGTTTTGAACTTAGGCACATTGCCTTTGCAGGGAGGTCTACTTAATTTTTTTCAAATGGCCTTTCTGCCATCTTTGTAATCACTTTGCTGATAAGAACACATATTCACTGGGCATGGTGGCATATGGTGTAATCCCAGTGGCTGGGGAGGCTGAGGCAGGAGGATCAAGAGTTCAAAGCCAGCCTCAGCAACTTAGTGAGGCCCTAAGCAACTTAGTGAGACCCTGTCTCTAAATAAAATACAAAGTAAGGGAGATGTGGCTCTGTGGCTAAGCTCTCCTGGGTTCAATCCCCAGTACAAAAAAAAAAGGAACTCACACTCATCACTCCACTCCCAATTTCTCCTGAAGATTTGAACTCTATTTTTCAGACAGGTTTTTTGGCCCCACGAGCCCCTCTCATTTCTGGGATAGACACGAGATTTGTCTTTAACTTTTTAAATCTTTTGTATTATATTGGTATATAAGCTATTAAAAAATAAATAATACCCAGTAAGAAGCAGGGGAAAACAAGCCCATAAGGTGGTATCCTAATGTCTTCCTGAAGACCCAAAAGACCCAGGTGACAGATGCATGGTAGGTGGGTTAGATGGTCCTTTTCCATCTCATGCACATTTTGTCTGGGTCGTGATGACAACTGCCTCCTTCCCAGGGCACAGCGCCGACTCTGCTTCTCATTCAGCTACCTCTGGGCTTCTTACTATTTGCAATTTTCCCAGCATGCTTAAATTGTTGGCCTATTTCTTCTGGAGCAGAGTTCCATGAGGGTGGGGACAATCATCCCTGCCCTTTCTCAGGGCCAGCTATGGCACAGGACACAAAAACTACAAATGGATTAATGGAAAGTAATTACAAAATGGGCTCCATCCTGTTTAATTTGTTTTAGGAACAACCATTCCCAGTGATACTGTGAGACCTGATGGTTATTTTGTTTTTGTTTTTTTTGATACCAGGGATTGAACCCAGGGGTACCAATCCACTGAATAACCACTGATCCATACCCCCAGCCCCTTTTTACATTTTATTCAGAGACAGGGTCTGGCTGAGTTGCTTATAACCTCACTAAGTTGCAGAGGCTGGCTTTGAACTTGTGATCCTCCTGCCTCAGCCTCCCAAGCCGCTGAGATGACAAGCATGGGCCACCATGCCCACCCAGCTCTGATGTTTTATTGCTTTCAATAATCACAAAATTGCCAGAGGAGTCACCTGGTAAATTCTGGGTACAAGAGCTGGGAGCATGGCTGGGTGGTAGAGCACTTATTAGCCTGTGCAAAGCTCTGGGTTCAGACCTCAGCACTGTGAACAGAATAAAAGAACTGCTGGGCATAATTTGTGGCTCTAAGAGGCCTTGCCATCAAGGGGTAAGCAAATTCATCCCGGAGAGAAAGGGATTTGTACAAATCTGAACATCATGGATCTCATGTGAGCTGATGAATGTGGGAAGTGTCGGCTTCGCCAAGACTCTTCCACATTTCAGAAAGTCTTTAAAAAATGCTGAGGGCCATTGCGAATTCTGACTCCAGAGCTGTAGGATGTTAATACACCACTTACCTTTGGACCAGGAATTAGAGTACTTTAGTCCAAAGCCATATATATATAGACTGAAGGACTGAACTGAAGGTAAGATTGGGAAAAGAGAAACCTCCCTGCTTGACAGGTGCCTGCTGTGGATGTCACCCTCAGTTCCAAGGGAAGGTCTACCAGGCTCCTTTTCATTCAATAGCAAAATAAAGTCTTGGGTAGCGCATGATCCCTTTAGTAAAGTTTGGTTTTATTACAGAGAACTGCACACTTTGCCTGATGAAGTCAAATAAAGCCAGGCCCTCACTGAAGAGACCAAAGTGCTTCCTGATGGCAGTGTTTTCATACAGATAAGGAGCAGAGGATCATGCCTATCTCTGCGACATCCTCCATTTGACAAAGGATTGGACCCAGCATTCCTTTAAAAGAGCAGCTCCTCTGCCGGTGGGTATTATTAATAGAGCACTTTATTCTATTAATAAATGACAGTGACCCCCAGGGAAGGCTGAAGACAGAAAGGAACCTGATTCCCTGGGATCCAGGAACCACCAATGACAGAAAAATCAGAAAACCAACTATCGCATGTAACCCAGAGTTTGCCAAACTAGGGGTCTACATAACTGATGGCTTGTGAGATGATTTTAGGGAGTGGGAGAACACTAAGTAATGCTTCAGGGGTACGCTGCATCAGCTCACACTGACATACATTCTAAGACAGCCACCTCTTTTTTATTTTATTTCATTTTATTTTTTGATTCGAGGGATGGAACCCAGTGGCACTTAACCCCTGAGCCACATCCCTAGATCTTTTGATTTTTAGATAAGGGCCTTGTTCAATTGCTTAGGACCTTGCTAAATTGCTGAGGCCAGCTTTGAACTTGCAATCCTCCTGCCTCAGCCTCCTGAGCTGCTGGGATGACAGGTGCTTTTCAGTTCAGGTCCTATTTAGGTCAAAGACTAACTCTCAGGATGAGGGTATTAAACAGCAATCTGATCCTACAGCCTCTTGGAGGTATTCAGCTAGTTGGTAACATAGTTCCCTTTTATTTATTTTTATGGATACTTTCAAGTATGGTAGACATGCAAATTAATATTAAGGAGAAATTTAAGCCAGGCGCTGTAGCACATGCCTGTAATCCCAGCTGAGGCAGGAGGATCATGAGTTTAAAGCCAGCCTCAGCAACTTAGCAAGGCCCTGTCTCAAAATAAAAAAAAAGGGCTGGGGATGTGGCTCAGCGGTTAAGTGGCCCTGGATTCAATTCCCGGCACCCCAAAAAAGGAAAAGAAGAACAACAAGAAGAAGAAATTTAAGTAAAAAGAAAAGAAAGAAAAATGCTAACTAGGTAACACATGGATCTAGGAGAACCATGACCTGGTGTATACAAGGCTGCAGCGGAGGAGCAGGTGCACAGGGCCCACTGGGCTGGGGGTTGTTCCAGCCAGCTGTCCCCTACCCAGCTCTTCCACACATCCACTACAAGACCTTGTTTTCCTCATTTATAAAATGAGACCATTCAACCAGATCACCCCTTCTGTTCTTTCCTACTCTTAAAACATTTCTGAAATTATGCCAGACAATTAAAGAGTAGAACCTGGCTTATCCTCTCCAGCATCTTGTCCCCTATATTTTTCACAGAAGCTAAAACAGTACCTAGCAGACATTTGGTGCTTAAATAATGTTCATGCCTGATTTCATAAACTGAAAAAGAAAAACACTCTTTTTTTCCATGGCTATTGTATAAGGTGAGGCACCCCATGGCCCCCCCCACCCCCCCGCAGCACCGTGTGAAGTGAGGTAATGTCAAGCTGGCCATCGTGGGATGGAAACACGCTGTCACATCCCATGCCAGAGCCTGCCACTCAACCTCCTCTGCCACCTGTTAACATCCAAGCTGTGCATCTGGGGCCTGTAGCTCTGAACACAGGGCCAAAGATTAATTGGACAGGAGATGTTAGTGGATCCTAATAAAACACAGCATGAGAGAAATGGAGTGATTCTGGGGTTAGAAGTCAGGCATGACATTTCACCATTCTCTTTCAATGCTCTCATTGAAAACTGGGGATCTTGAGCTACAATCCCTTAATCTTCAGGGTGTAAAGCAAAACCCAAGAGTAAACACAATGTAGAGCGCTTTCTAGAATCTTGCCCTTCTCTATATGTCTCTGTATAGTCCATCAGATTTGACAAACTGAAGTTTTGCTCCCTCCAAAATAGCAATGGTTGTCATGACAACAACAAAAAACAATAACTGTGACCATCACCAGAGACCTAAGAGCAACAACCTCCGTCTACTGAGGACTCTGTGCTAGGTCCCAGGAAGAGGTTCACATAATCTTCCCCTTTTAAAGATGGGAAAACTGAGACTTAAAGAAGTTAACAAATGTCCTTAGTCTTCCAGTTGGTAAATGCTATGACCTGAATTTTAACCCTCTCCTGTGGATGTCCCCAGTTCATGCAATCTTTGCCTTTGCAAAGCTTGCTGTATCAGATATTCATTGTGCATCAGTTATGCACAAGGCACAGAGTTCAATGTCCTCATGGGCAATATCCATATTTCTTTAGAACTGTTGCAACAGCAATGAACATGTTAATAACTTTACAATTTACCATTAAGCTTACTCCCTGTTCTTGCTGGTATGTTTTAAAAACTATTGGGTGCTGCTTATAATTTTTTTTTCTTTAATTGTGCAATATAGAAAAAAAATTCTCCCCACAATGTTTTCCACTAGAAAAACAGTATGTTCTTGAAATGAATTTAAGTCCCCAACTGTTAAACAGCACTGCATCTACCCCACACTGATTTCTGGAATGAGTTCTTGGAAGGAAAAATGAATTTCTCAAAACTATCACTGAAGATCAACAGCTAAAAAAGCTGGTGGATCCAGACTGCTGGTTGGTGAATAAAGCTTCCATCTCCCGCTTTAAGATCGACTCGGTGATTTATCGCAATCTTGCCTTAACAATACATCTTCTCCATCATAGAGGAAAATCACAGTGAAATTTCCAAACAAGTAAGTTAGTTTGCACCAGTTATGAATGCAAGGGTGACAAAGCCCCCAGGATTACTGTCCACAGGTGCTCACCTCTGCCTTCTTCGTGACCTCATTGTCTCCCTCTCACTCTGGCTGAACCATTTCTCCTGTACTTTGCTGCCCCAGTAACTGCACTGCAGAAGCAAGCCAAGGCTGAGCATGCCTGGCCAGGGTACCACATGCTCTCCTCACTCTCTCCCTTGGATATTCCCATAATGCTCTCCTTAATTCCTCCTCACTTCCATCCTCCAGCTCTCTCCTCTGCAAGATCAGAGCTCCTTCCAGACTTTTCCAAATGCCTGCTTTACCACACCAATGATCCCACGGCCCTGCTATGCTCCAGGCATGTCTCTCCCGGCTCCTCCTGACTCATGGGCCTCCACACCCCCATCACTTCCTCTCACCACTCCAGCTATGCAATAGCGGAGAGGCGCTGTCTCTGAAGTCAACTTGTCTGAATCTAGATAAACTGTCATTTAAGTTAAAATTAATCAAATTCAATTAAATCTGAAATTCAGCTCTCATGTCAGATGGAGGACTTCCTAGGAATCTGACAACTCCCCCGGCAGCACATAGGGGCCGGACTCCCATTTCTATAAAAACTATTATTTTACATTTTGCGTTCCTCCACCACCAACTCCAGGATTGGACTGCACTGGTCCAATGTCTACCAGATAAAGTGTGAAGCACCCCTTAGGGTCCCAGCCCCACTGCCCAGTTCTGACTTCCCCATTCTGCCTGCACCAACTAACCAGTTCCTTGCCCCATGCCAGGCCCACACGGCCTCCTGCCAGTGGAGTGCCCTGCCATCCTGGCTACCTGGTGAACTTTTTTTGTGCATCCAGGGCCAGTTCCAGTACCATATTCCACAGGAAAGCACAGTGGTTCCAGAAGCCTAGGCCTTCTAGAATTCTTTCACATCAGAGCTCTGCTCCAGGTACAGTTTTGGAGAACTGTTTATGGGGCAGGGGTGGATGCTGAAGCTTTTTTTTTTTTTTTAATTTTAATATTTATTTATTTTTTTAGTTTTCGGTGGACACAACATCTTTGTCTGTATGTGGTGCTGAGGATCGAACCCGGGCCGCATGCATGCCAGGCGAGCGCGCTTCCGCTACCGCTTGAGCCACATCCCCAGCCCAATGCTGAAGCTTTGAAAGCCTCCAGGAGTCCAATCCCCTCCCATCAGACTGAAAGAACCACCCACATAGGTGACCTGTGTAGGGGGGAGGGGGCTCAGAAGCAGCCTAGCCTCAGGAAGGGCTACTTTGTTGTCTATGGTGTTAAAAATCCATATTTTCCAGGTGTAGTGGCACACTCCTGTAATCTTGGTGGCTGGGGAGGCTGAGGCAGAAGGATTGCAAGTTTGAGGCCAGCCTCAGCATTTATGAGGCCCTGAGCAACTCAGCAAGACCCTGTCTCTAAATAAAATATAAAAAAGAGTTGGGGATGCGGCTCAGTGGGTAAGTGCTCCTGGGTTCAATCCCCAGTTCAAAACATAAAAATAAAATTAAAAGATCCATACTTACTCTGCAAAGAGCACAGCTTTCTTTCCCAACTGCTACTGGCTTTGACAGGAGCTGAAAATGAGATTCTGGAATCACAAGAAATAAGATGACAAAGCATTAAATCATCTTAGGGAATATGAATGGAGCGCTCAGAGCGGCCAAATGGCTGGCTGAATAGAGCAAAGCTGCTCTGCCTAGCCAGCACAGGGGAGTGCAAACATCCTGTGGCTTTATAGTCTGCCCTAGGTTCAGGTTACCTCCCCAATTAGGCAAAAGCGCATGGAGGGCGGGGCATCTCTGATAAGGAGCCAGGCCTAGGAAGGGTTACAGGTCAAAGAGGAAAGCAGGTGAAGGTCAAGCAGGGAAGGGCCACAGGACAGCCTGGTTCCCTGGGTGGGAAGCACAACAATGGGAAGACCAGATGTACTTGGCTCTAGGCCTACAAACTTAACAAAGAACCTTGGATAAAGATACCGAAATCTCCTTCCCCTTTTGGACCCCGGCTTCCCTAAACATTGCATTCAGGAAGTTATGGAGGAAGGGTGAGGACCAAAGGTCAATAGGGCTATTGGAGTGTTAGGGACAGCACGCACAGGGCTGGCCAGAAGCACAGAGGAACTGGCAAAGGCTCTGTGACAGGAGTGTGAAGCCACAGGTAAGGGAAAATAAAGCCAGAGGATCCAGGGACTGTTTCAGATAGGTGAGTGTTTAACCATGAAACGTCTAGAAGAAATCATGAGAACTCTGTCCTAAAATATCTCCAAGGGGAAGGCCTTTCCAAGAGAGGTATAAAAAACCAGAAGCCATGGGGGGGCTGGGGTTGTGGCTCAGTAGTAGAGGGCTTGCCTCCTGTGTGTGAGGCACTGGGTTCAATGCCCAGCACTGCATATAAATAATAAATGAATAAAATAAAGGTCCATCAATACTAAAAAAAAAAACAGAAGCCATGACAAAAACATCACTATTTACAAAATAATTTTTGCATTATTATTATCATTACAAAAGAGTAAGAAGCTGATGACATAAAAATGTTTATTGTACTAAGAATCGAGCCCAAGGACTCCCACATGAGATTCTGGGGATCATAAGAAATAAAATGTCAAAGCATTAATCACTGAGGCCAAACTCTGCCAAATGCTCTACCACTGAGCTACATGCTCAGCCCTTCTCATTTCATTTTGAGACAGGGTCTCGGTTGCTCAGGCTGACCTCAGACTTGCAATTTAAATCGTGCATTACTACAATGGCTAAAACTGTTTTTTAAACATCCACTCAAAAGTGATATCATCAACAGGATTAAAATATGTCAACACATATCAAAGGTAACAAACTTCCTTAATGTATAAAGGGGTCCTACAAATCAACAAGAACAAAATCCATTAAAGAAAAGATGAGCAAATAATCTGCATAAATAACATACCAGAAAGGAAACTGGAATGACTCTTAAACATAGAAGGTGCTCAATCTTATTTAAAAGAGAGACAGGCAAATCACGTCTACAGGTTTGTGGTGGTCTTTATTCAACAATGCACAAAAAGTTTAGAAACAGACTGTGTATCTGAGGCCATTGTAGAACTAGATGCTCTCATATCATGTACATATTATACTCCCAGCCAGGTGCAGTGGCACATGCCTGTAAACCCAGCAGCTTGGGAGGCTGAGGCAAGAGGATCGAGAGTTCAAAGCCAGCCTCAGCAACTTAGCAAGGCCTTAAGCAAGTTAGTGAGACACTGTCTCAAAGTAAAATTTAAAAGGGCTGAGGATGTGACTCAGTGGTTAAGCACCCCTGGGTTCAATTCCTGATACTTAAAAAAAAAAAGTACACATCCATCAACAAAGTCCAAATATGTGGCCCTGGGAAATTCACCTGCCTTTGACCTAGTAATATTTTTTCTTCTAAGAATTTACCTATATTTATATCTGAACATGTGTAACAATATATTTGTACAAGGTTATTCATTACAGTTTCATTTATACCATAATAAAAGATAATAAATTCATATGTCCACTTACAGGGAACCTGGTAAGTAAACAATGGTATAGCTTTACAAAAAAAAAAAAAAATTACATACAGGCATTAAATACAAATAGAAACTAAATATAAGGCAGTTCAATTTTCCCCATAGGTAATGACCTCCAAGATACATTATTAATTCAAAAAAGTGAGGAACAGAAGACAGTAGATAGAATAACACCCTTTTGTGCTTAAAAAAAAAGAGATTGTATATGTTATGATTACATATGTATGAAATGATTCTACATGGATACACACACAAAAAAAAACCCCACAAAACTGGGACTAGTAGCTGGCTCTGGTGGGAGGGAATGGGATTCTGGAGGCAGAGATGAGAGTAAAATTTTTCACTGATATTCTTTTTGTAAATTTTGAATTGCTACTGTACACAGGTATGAAGGGTTTTTTCCTATTTAATTAAAAAATACAATATGAACTCAAATAAAATGGTCTATCTTGAAGCCAGGTATGGAGGTGCACACCTGTAATCCTAGCTACTTAGGAGAATGAAGCAGGAGGATTGCAAATCAACCTGGACAACTTAGTGAGACTTTGTTTCAAAATAATGTTAAAAAGGGCTGGGGATGTAGCTTAGTGGTACTGCACTTGCCTAGCATTGGGTTCAATCTCCAATACTATTAAAAAAAAAAAACAACTCTATTCTGTATTGTTCAACACAGTAGCCATTATACATGTGGCTATTTAAATTCATTAAAACTAAATGAAATTTAAAGTTCAGCTCCTCAGCAATATCAGCCACATGTCAAATGCTCAATAGCCACATGTGGCTTGTGGCTACCATATTGGAAAATGAAAATCCAGAACATTTTAATTATCACAGAGAGTCCTACTGGCTAGACATGAATTTTCTTTCCTTTGGTACTAAGGATTGAACCCAGGGACACTTAACCATGGAGCCACATCCTCAGCCCACCCCCACCACCACCACCTTTTTTCTTTGTATTTAGAGACAAGGTCTCGCTGAGTTACTCAGGGCCTCATTAAGTTGCTCAGGCTGGCTTTGAACTCACGATCCTCCTGCCCCAGCCTCTCGAGCCACTGGGATTACAGGTGTGTTCCACGGAACCCAGCCCAGTCCTGAGCTTTATATTCATTCAAAAGGCCCATGAGAGGCAGTAATCAAGCCTTAATAATTTCTCATAAGAAGAAATACGAACTTGAATGTGTTACAGTGAAAATTCATCATATCTGAACATGAGCTGGGTGGCCTGAGGCTCGGGACAGACCCTCCTGTCCTATGCCACTGTCCAGAGGTTAAGTCTGCCTGGCAGGAACTTTAGTCTTTAAGGATCAAAGTCCAGCACTCTAAGATAGCAAATGATAAGAATTTTCCCTTTTGGAACCACATGGCCTGGAATTACACAACCATAAATAGCCATAGATTCCTATCTTCTTTATGGTAGAGAGGGACTGAGGAGAGGGATCACTGTCCTGCTTCACAAAGTACCAGCAACAGGTCCTCTTGGGGTCCTTGCTCAAGAACCAGCTGGCAACTTCTGCCACGAGGGCAGCACTGGGCAAGAGAAGAAGCCCAGCCAGGTTGGGCCTGTGGGTGGAGGATCAGAGAACACCAGCAAGTCCTACTACCCAGTCCTCTGGGAGAAGTCACAGCCAGAGGGGAGAAAAGGCAGATCAATCAGGGGCTCATTTGAAAGGCAGGAGGCTGGCCTATCCTGTGGCCCAGCTTCTAGAAAGTTGTTTTGGAGCCAGGAAGGGTGGCACCCATCTGTAATCCCAGCAACCTGGGAGGCTGAGGCAGGAGGATCATGAGTCACAGCCAGTCTCCACAACTGAGCAAGGCCCTAAGCAACTCATTGAGACTCTGTCTCTAAATAAAAATACAAAAAAAAGTGCTGGGGATGTGGCTCAGTGGTAAATGCAATGGGTTTAATTCCTGGGACAAAAAAAAAAAAAAAAAAAGACTTATTGGCCACAAAGTAAGACAATAAACCATACTACACTGGCCTGGCTGAGCACCTCAAAAAGTCAGACTCTTGGGCCAAGGTGTGTGGGCTATAACAGTCTGAAAGAACCACCTGCTTGAAATCTTGTCTTCAAGAAGACAGCTGAAATGCAAGCCAACCTGTTGCTGGTTAAAACAGAAGCCAAAGCCACTTGACCCTTTATCTCCAAGGACCCTAAAGTCTTCAGGCTCTAGGGGAGCCCACAAGAGCCTTCATCCCCCGCTCAAAGGAAAGAAACAGCATCATGTAAGAAACTATTTTCCCCATGACTAAAAGGAATAAAATAGCCCTGGATATGCATGGATTATAGCGGAGGCCTAAACTAGAACCTGGGCACCCACAGACATTCTCCCATTGATGCAACTTACTCTCCCAAATAAAAGGAAAAACTAGGAGATGAAGAGTCTTCACTACAGATGGAGCTGGCCTGCAGCCTTTTCTAGCTTTGGAAGCAAAGCTGGTGTTAAAGGAAATCAGGGCTCTGTTAATACAAGGTGGCGAGGTTCAGGGGCAAGATTTCTGGCTTCCTGCAAAAAGTCTAGCCCCCCCATTGGGGGCCCTTTGGGAGTTGGTCCCCACTTTCCTTCAAGCCAGAATCTCCCCCAAGGAGGCTGTCTCAGTTACCCAGGAAAATGGTTAAGAGTGCCACACCCTTTTGTTTGGAACTGTATCAAAATGAATAAAATCAAAAGCAAAATTGCCATTTTAGCAGGGTGCGGTGGTGCACACCTGTAATCCCGGGAGCTCGAGAAGCTGAGGCAGGAGGATTGTGAGTTCGAAGCCAGCCTCAGCAAAAGCGAAGCACTAAACAACTCAGGGAGACCCTGTCTCTAAATAAAATACAAAACAGGGCTGGGGATGTGACTCAGTGGTTGAGTGCTCCTGAGTTCGATCCCAGGTACCCCTTCCTCCCCAGAAAAATCACCATTTTAATAGCAATACTAAACCAAGATCAGGTGGTAATTATCACCCGTGCTAATTGTCAGGACAGAGAATAGCCTCATGTAGATTAGTTCACTCTATGAAAAATCCTCCCCACTTCAATTTGGCTATGGTGGCCCTACCAGAGAGAGGTCACTTTTACAAA